TTGTACACTATTGGTAGCCATTTGGTGGGGAGAAGCAGAAAGCAACATTCCGTAACTTTGGCAACAAGAACAAAAAAAACCTCCAAATTATTTTGCTCATCCCTACCGTGAAAGATATCTTCTTGCAAGATTTTACACTGTGGCTTTACACCAAGCCATGAAGTTTGGCACCTATAAAAGACACTGTTAGTTTCCAAGAGTTTGCACATCATGTGGGAGAAACACAAACCACCGCAGGGCGCCAGCTTCTGAGGGAAGCTAAGGAGAGCTGGAGATGCTTGGATCTCTTGAAACACAACACAACAGCTTTACTGAGATACCTTATTTCTGCTTTCACCACAAACTCTACTATTCACCCGGGGCAGATCAGAGTGTTGAAGCTCCAAGCCTATTTTGGATGAAAAAACTGAGAAAACTATACCATATTTTGGTTGAGACAGTCTTTTGTGTTCTTGGAAGAAGTTTGCTGGACTCACGCATGCACCTCAGTGGTGCTTGAGCTACAACCCTGTATCAGTGAAAGCAGGTGGCATCTGCCTTTAAGGTTAAAGCTACAGAGGAGGGGCTGTGCATGCTCAGTATGAAACCTAGGTCTTGCTTTCCTCAGGACCTTCTATCTTTCCCCCAGTGGTAAGTCCAGCCTTGGTGTTTTGGGTTTATCCCTTTCTAAGAATGGTTGGTTGCAGTGAAAGGTGGCTTTTGGGGTGAGAAATGTTGCTGCATTGTAACAGTTGAATGTAATTGTTTGCTCTCACTTTTCTGGTGTGGAAAGTGCTTTAGATTTTTTTGCTTGTTTATTTGCTTTTCTTTAATGTCTTTGATGTGACGGTAGGAAGGGGGAAAATGTGGTGAAGAGTGGAAGCATGTGCTTGCAGTGAGATAGTGGGAGCAGAAATGTCTTGTTTTCTCTCTGGTCTGCCACCAGTTTATGTCATGCTGGGCCAAGCAGTCAGGACTTTGTTTCCACACGCACTGGGACACTTGGCTCCAGAAAAAGGCAATAGCAGTACAGATGGGCTAAGGCTCATGAAAGGCAAATGCTGTTCTTGCTAGAGTTTTTTTGTTTGGCTGTTGGCTTTTGTTGGGGTGGCCTTTGGTTCAGGTTTTTGGTTTGGGTTCTGGTTTGTTTTTTTTGGTGAAGGTTAACATTACCAGCTTTCTAGGAAAGCCTGATGTTAAGTGCTGTGTGGGTGCAGCTGTAGGGGCATGTTGCTCTCATTGCCATATTTTGCAGAGATCTCACTCAGCAGTGTGATGACAAATTGAATCAGCTGGGATGCAGCCCTACTCCAATGGGCTGTAATGCAGCTCTTCTGGGGAAACGATCAAGAGGCAGGGAAACAGAGTGCCCAAGGCTCCAGCACACCAAGTGTATCTGAAAAGTGTTTTCACCTGGAGTCTGGGGTGCTCTCACTTCAGCAAAGCAAATAGGGTGGAGCTGAACTAGACCTCAGTGGGAGTGCATGGCTGACTGAAAACTGTCCTGGGATTCAGTGGCTCAGGAGCAGTGTCCCAGCGCTGCTCAGGGAAACAGTGTCATTTTGGTGAGGTGCTGGTTTTCAGAGAAAACTTAACCTGCAATTTTTGTTAATTCATAGTCTCCTATTGGTTCTTAAAGGAAGCGATTGTGGATGCAGTGTTCTATTCAGCTTGGAGTTTCAAGGGCGCTGTAAATCCCTCTGCAGTTCCAAACTAGTGCTGTTAGTGCTCTCTGCTTGTGGCAAGCTGCTTGCTAACTATTTCAGCAGTTAATGCAGGAAATTAGTTTGTAGACTTAAAGTGGAGGACAAGCTAGACTATATTCACTATATGCTTTGTTCTGTCATAGTAGTGTAACAGCGTGTGTTTGGTAGTGCCCCCCACAATGTGCTTTGTGATGAGTTGTGTGTAAAAGTGATGTTATTTAAATGTCTTTTAATAAATAAAATAACAGCTGGTAGGAGCAATTTGAACAATGCTAACTCCTGCTATCTTGTGATTAGCTTTAGTCAGTCACTGATTATTTTACTGAAGCTGAGTATTTGCTGACATAGGAAAAGACAACTAAAGTAGTGAAATGCATGCATAGATCTTACTTAGGCTTTAGTTGTTCTTGTGGAAGAGCAAATTTGGGCACTTTGGTATTCTGTAGAGGAGTACACAGAGGTGGCTACTCTATGTTGAAAGCTATTAAGAAAAATCTCACTAGATTTAGATTTTAAGATCACAGGGAAGGAGACAATTCAGCTTGTGTGAAGCTTTGTGCTGAACTAAAGTTGGTTTTCTTGCAACTTGGCAGCTTTTTCCCACCTGAGAGCAGGGTGCACCAAACAGTAAAAAGCAATTCTCTCTACGTCTGTAATACTGTATCCTTCCCATAGGTGCACCTGATCCTGCAGCCTCCTTTAAAAATAGAGCTGTATGGGTAGTAAAGGTGTTGAAGATAGTGTTGAAGGAGTCTCTCAGATTTTGCTTATGTAAAAGTATTAATCAGGGAACTTCTTTTGTGTAGTATAGGAAAACACACCTTTTTTTGGCTATAGGGTAGGATCTGGTAATGCTTTTCTTAGTAAGCCAGGAGCTTGGTTGAGTATAGGGATAAAGGTGACACAGCTGGAAAATGCCTTTCTCTGGAGAAATCTGGGGCTGTGTTTAGTACAGGCATGAAATTGTTGTGTCCTTAACTGGTGTGACTCTTTACAATAGCTCTGTTAGCTTCAGAGGCATAGAATTACAAATCTGGCTACATCAGTCTATGCAGCTAATACCTCCTTCCTCTCCTGTGCTGCAGGCTGTGGGCACTGTGGGGAGTGCTTGCTTGGGGTAGGCTTATGATAACCAACTTCTGCTTTGCTGCTGAGTAGGACCACACTGGGTAGCTTTGCCTTCTTGAGACCTAGGACTTTGTGCAACTGTGAACCAAATTTGAGCATGTCACGGCACTGAGACTTTCCGAAAGAAAGGTCTCTGAGGAAGGTCTGTTTTGTAACAAGTCGTTTTGGTGAGGTTGGTTCCTGTGTAATGAACCTTGTGTGGATACCTTGGCAATGGATTCAGAAAAAGTGATTCTAGTGTTTAAGTCATGGGCAGTTGTTATAAGTGGTAAATAATGAGCACTTTGGTGGCGTCTCTGCCCATTCCTTGGAGGTCAGGATTGAGTGCAGGGTATTGAGTGGTGCCTGGGCTCTGTGGGTTGGAGCATATACTCCCTATTACTCTCCTCTAGAGCTTGTGGTAGTATTGATTTGCAGGCTTAGGTGAGATCTGCTCTTCTGGGTTTCAATATGGCACTCTTGCAAGTGCCTTATCAGACTGAAAGTTTGAAAGTAATAATTTCTGGTACTTTGTGGGATAACTGCTGTTCTCAGAGGATTTGTGATTATTTATTCATATGTAGTGTGGGTATGTGCTCACATCTGTGAGGCACAGCTATTAGCTATGCCACTTCTGAATTTTATTTTTATCTCTGACTGTTCATGAACTTTTAAAGGATGTTGGGCTCCTTTTCTTAATCGCAAAAGCAACTGAACTGATACTCTCACCTATTTTGAGGCATGCCCAGCTGTGGCTCTGGGGGCTGAAACAGCTTTGATTTTTGTTAGTTTAGGAAAACTGCTCTTTTCGAAGGGCTTGCAATTCCGTGGGCAGCGTAGGTGAGGAAAGCCATGCTTTTTGTAAACCAGACACATCCTCAAAACAGAAGAGGCCATACAAATTCAGTAGAAAGAGCTAGATTCCTCTCTGACAGCAGCCAGAAATAGATACTTCAGGAGAGAGTAGAGGAAAAGAACAACTGTAGTATGATCTTCCTTCTACAACACCCTTTCTTAATTTTAGCAGCTTAATAATTTAGGGTCTTCCACGCAGCTGGTTAGACCATTGTGCTGAACAGCACCAAAGTGAGCCAAACCAAACGTTAATCCAGTTCTCTTTGTAAACAGTTTATAGCCCTGGCTCCTGCCGCAGCCATTCCCCCATCAGGGAGCGTGGCCGTTCACCAAAACAACTCTTTTGTGTGAACGTTTTACAGGGTGCCCCCGGCCTCGTAGCAGAAAAGGCAGTCACCTGCCTCCTACTCCAGTTAAGTCGACCCCGGAGATTTTTGCCAACTGTAAATACACTCAAGAAATTCCTCCCGCCCCCCACCCCTCACATCCCTGCAGCCATTGAGTATTTTGACACGGGAGTAAAAGCTGCTGAGTGTGAATTTAGAAATTGGCCAGTGGGATGAGAATGTGCAGCTGTGGAAAGCGCGAGTGCTCCAGCTTCGTCACTGCTCCTCTTGGGCCCACCTATTTCTGTGAGGCTTGTGGGAGCTTAAGGGGATAAAAATGGATAAGGTAATTAGCAGATCTGGCAGAAATCAGCTGGCTGGACTAGGAAATAATTGGAGGCAAGAAGGCAGTAAAAAGCCATCAGATATAGTCTGATGTGGTGGAACTTATTACCATAGAAAATAAAGCAAAAAGAAGGGGGATATTATTGTTGTTGTTGTTACTATTCATTTGTTCAAAACCAACTCTCTCTTATTTTAGTACAAGACCTCATCTGCAGTGGCTGGGTATAGGAAAAGTCAGATAAATCATCCAAGGGCATGCAATCTAGAGAAGCAACCAGTTAGGGACAGTAAAATTGCATGGAGGTGCTCCACCTGCTGCAAAGGCTGCCCGCTTTGTGTGGAAAGTTGCTTATTTGGGGGTAAAACAGAAGGTAGCATTTTTTATTATTTTTTTTTTTCTCCTCTGGGATTCTTATGACACAGCATCCCAGTGAACTCTAAGAGGTATTCAACTTATTGGGAAGTTTCTCCTGTCTAAATACAGCATCTGCTGCAGTGTGGAATGTGTGGTGTACAGCTGTGAATGTTCTAGGCATTCAGTGTGTCTCCTCTTTCACACAATAGCTTCTATTTATGGGATTTCATTGATCTGGGCTCACACATCACATTCAACATAGCTTTGTGTGTGCATTTTTTTCTCTTTTTTTTTCTTCTTTTTTTTTTTTTGCTTTTGTTTTTTAAGGTTTGTAGAAACTCCGAGCCACTTCTCCTGGAAGGAAAGTTACTACCGATCAGCCATGTCCCAGAGCTCGCAGCCCAGGGAATTCCTCAGTCCAGAGGTGCTCCAGCATATCTGGGACTTCCTGGAACAGTAAGTAGCCCTTACACAGAACCTGTAGAAGAAAGCGTTTTGGGACAGGATGCCCCTATAATTAGGCTACTCAAGGGAGTGATGCTGGGGTATTTGGAGTCTTCTGCACTTACTGATTAGAAGGTGTGGGTGAGAGTCTGTGATGACTGGCAGCTCTTGAGCTCTCCAGAGGTTCTACATCCAGGCTATGGGAAACAGGTGCAGAGATCAGTAGCGACAGTGACTGTCTTGAAAACCTCTGGTGGTTGGCATTTTCCCCTAAGGAAATGGATTCACTGCTCTTATGTCCAAGCTGCATGTTTTCCTCTCTTGCTGATGCCATGGAGGGACAGGAGATGGAGATTGTGCAGAGTTCATCCAATCAGGTCCTTTGAAGGAAATCAAACCAACTTTTTTCCCATTCCTGACTTGCCATGACTGATGCTGAGACAGTTACTGCTATAAATCCTCCACAAGTTCTGTCTTTCAGTGATTTAAATCCTGCGCTCCTACCTCATTTTTCTGGTCAGACAAGTGAAATGTCCCTCCAGGCTCTGTCCTGTTCAGGAACTGCTGTTAGCATAGCAGGTGATGAGATAGTTGTCCATTAGTAATTACTTACTTTGTCCTGAGACTGGTCTGTGGTCATGCCTGAGTCCTGGGTGACACCCTAGCATGAAGGACAAGGTGGGGAATGGAAAATGGAATTTGGCCAATTTTAACTGTGTTACTCTGTTCTTTTCAGGCCAATATGCTCAGTTCAGCCAATTGATTTAAACTTCATTGACACCCCATCTGAAAATGGCCCTACTAACAAAATAGAGATCAGCATGGACTGCGTCCGGGTGCAGGACACAGAGCTGAATGACCCAATGTGGGTGAGTAGTGAGAACTTCCTTAACCTTTGGGGACAGATGAAGAGTGTTTACAGGAGCTATTCTCGCTGCAGTGCCCTGGGATCATCTTTCCCCTCTTGATGGAGGAGCTGTGGCCACTGCCTTTGACCCAGGAAGTTCCTTCTTTCTTTGCCTGTAGTGTCCCACTCACAGAAGCTGGTTGGGAGCATGGCTTTGCGGAGTGACTCTGGTGGTGGTGAGCAGAGGTTCTCTACATGTGGCTAAGCTGGACGGTGTGTGGCCCCTGGAAAGGCTTCACCCCTTCATGCCTCCCAGGTGCTGCAAGGGGGAGCAGGCTGGCTCCTTACCTGCTCCTTTTCTCCTGCTTCAGCAATGGTGGGAGAGAGGGATGAAGCAGCTAAACAGGCAGAAGAGCTGAGGAGTCTCTTGCACTTGCCTGGTCGCTCAACTGTCATTGCTCTTTCCCTGTTTAGAGCTAGTTTATGTGACCTCAGGGATAAAGTAGCTAAGATAATTGGTATTCTGGGCACAGCTGCAATTTTGCTGATCAAGGGCAGGGGTTATTACTGGGTTTTCTTCTCTTGAAGGTCAGATAGGAATGAAAACTTGGTTTCAGGGCATAGCTGGTTTTTGTGTTTTTTTTTTTTTCCTGTGGGTTTTTGGTTGGTTTTTTTTTTCCCCTTTTTTCTCATTCTATATCTCCAGATAGGCAAACCTAGAGAGTGTTTGTAGCCAGCCTTGGCTGTGGGTGTCTCACCAGTATAGCTCGAGACTAGAATGTAGATGAGGCACTGGTGGTTCATTGTGGGTTCATTGCCTTTGGCACAAACTGACCAGCTTTTTCTTAGCAATAGCTTTGAAGAAACCAGAAGCTGTTCTTGCAGGCTGGAGCAGGAGGTAGTTCAGGAGTTTGAGCTTTTCATGTCCTCTTTTTGTTCTTCACGGGTTTTGTATATGTTGGGGTAAAAATCATGTCTGGTTTGAAATTTATGTTGGCATGTGTAAATTTTCCTGTTCCTCTATGTTTCCATCCTGAGAAACTGTGTCAACTAATTCCCTGGCTAATCAACCACTATTTTTCATGTGGCGAACAATGGCTTGTTGGCAGCCTGCATCCTGGCAGTTACTAACCTGGAGGATATCACATCTGCAAAGTAATTGCTCCCTGGTCATGCTGATTGCAGTCCCCAGTGACAGGAGCCTTGACCTGGTACTGCTGCTCCTTGTGTGCCAGGGAGACTGCAGTGCTCTTCTCTTTCCTTCTGATGTCGCAAAGGGTAAAAAGGCCACTTTGAGGTTGGGTATGTGCTTGGCTAAGGTGTTGGAAGCTAATCCAAGTGCACAAGGAGAGGTGACTGACAAGTCAGGTTATCTTTTGATTCTGCATTCGAATTGGGCACAGGCAGGTGGTGTACAAGCCTTCAATCAGCATCTGGATCTCAGCTTTTCCCAACAGCATGGCACAACCCCAGTAAAATGGTGTCTTTCCAGTAGCTAGTCCAAAATATTCTTCATGTTTAGAGGGACTCCTGATTTTCAAAGTTGCTGATAATGTTCTCTTTGAACTATGTCTCCTTAAAAAACAATCCTTGACAATTTAAACATTATCAGCTGAATTTTTTTCCCTTCCATGCTCTAGCACTAGCTGTGTTGAGTACAAGCAAAACCTCCCCATCTCCAGCTCCTCTGAAATGCCTGCAGAGCACTCTGGTAGCTGATGGGCTCACTGGAAGCTCTTGTTCAGAGTCTTTTTCCTATCTGTGGTGCAGTGAAACATGAATGGAAAATCCCTTCCTCTTGTTCTCTCTGAGCATGGCTGAAGTGAGCCCTGGGGCTAGGAGAGGAGGGCAGGCAACTTTTGCTATGCAATTACCTCTTGCTTATGGTGGGTTTGATCCCAGCCTTGCAGGAGGTATTTCTGGAAAGGCTGAGCTGCCAGGTGACTTCTTTAAAAAGGGTTTTTCACTGACATGACAAGCTGAAGGGGGAGCAGGGAAATTCCATCCCATCCTCACCCTTACTGTAAGGCAGTGGCTCAGAGTACATTAAAGTATGTACATTAATAAATGTTTCAGTTTGTCTTCGGTGGAAGACAGCACCTTCACTCAGTTGAATGCTGGACAAAAGCCTTTACAAAGCAAAATATGCACTGCAAACCTGTGCAAACAGCCCGTCTTTTAAAATGAGGAAAGCTCTTTTTACTCCCCTTACCACCACCACCACCTCCCTATAAATTTGCAAACATCCCTGACAGGTGACAACTCCCCCTTGCAGAGAAGTCCGTGTTTGCTTTGCTGTTTCTGGGGCTCGCAGCCGCTGCAGCTTGCATTGGCAGAGAATGTGTAGCCTGGGGCAAGGTGTTTGCTTTAATCTGAAATACCTTACAACCCTCTTCCCCTGCAGCTTCTCTTTTCCTTTGGATAGCTTCAGGGCAAGAGCTCCCTTTCCACCTGTCTCTCCTGTAACCCCAGTCATGTCACTTCTAAGCACGAGGTGCTGCATGCAGCTGATCGCAGTTAGAGTTGAAGAGGGCAGATAAACACAAAGGAATGCAGCAGAAACAGAGGGGCCCTGGAAGATAACAGTGAGATCAAGGCAGAGAGCTTTTTATTATCAAAATTGTCTTGGGAAAAGAGCAAGGACAGCTTTTCTCTATAATGTACCACCATGTGAGACTGAAATAGGTGCAAAGCAATTAGGACTGGTTTATTTAAAGCAATTGTCCTTAAAAAGACTTCAAGGCAATCTCTGTCAGCCTTTAAAATAAGCTTTGCACCTTCTTCCAACTTATGGCTGGAAAATTAAGCTTTTAGACTTGAAAGATGTCCACCCTTGATTCCAAGAGTTGTGTTGGTGAGAGAGCTACTATTTCTTTATTATTTCATTTTTAGTAGGGTACAGCTGTTTGCTCACAGCAGAGCTGGCAGTGGGGAAGGAGCTACAGTGCTCAGAGCAGTACCTGAAGAATTTGTCCCACTGGTGGGCTGGAAACTGAGCATAAGTCCAGCCTTGCTGAACCCATCGGTTGTGTTTGTTGCCTTGAAAATGCAACTATCTGGAAAAAGCTGGAAAAGAAGGTTGGGTGACAAGGAAACACCTCATCTGAGTTACAGCTTTGGCTCGTGCTGAGCCAAGACTTTACAGTTCTTACACTCTTGTTTGTAAGGAAGAAATATTCTTCCTGTGCCCCATATAAGAAAGATGTAAGGGTGCTGATCACCATTTTCTACCTTGGGATGAAAAGACCTGAATGGGACATGAAGAGGGTTTGTGGGTCTGGTGTGACATTAGACAGTCAGCAACCTTCCCCAGCTGTGTGCCTTGTGACTGGCTCTTTCACAATGTCCTGGGACATCTGTGAGGCTGATGGCTGTGCCCCTTCCTCTCCCATGGCGTTGACCACAGTCAGGCTGGGAAATCCCAGCATAGATCTGCCTTTTTGCATAACTGGAGTGAGGGGATGGTGGTCCTTGTGGGTGCAGAGAGCATTTAGTCTCTGCCATGGCCCTGGTGTGGGAAGGAGCTGCAGATGGCCAGGAAGGTAAGTTGAATGTCTATTCCTGTGGACCTCTCTGTATTTGCTAGACCAACCAAAAGGGTGGTCCCTAGCCTTTTCCCTGACGAAGGATGTAGCCAGCAACCATGGGTGTTATAGGAGTTTCTTTGGTTTGATTTGGCTTTTTTTCCTGACTGACTAAATACCCTGGAACTACAGGGAGGAGCAGTCTGGAGACATCTCTAGAAATGAGCTGTATGTTGGTGTAATAACCCCTGCATTGCCCTGGAGGCCCTCTCTGTGTGCTGTCAGCCTGTCATACCAGGTGCAAAATTCTTTTCCTTCACCATCTCCCAGAAGTCCTTAAAATTGCTCACTAATGTTAAGAGATGCTAGTTTGGACCCAAACAAACTTTATTTGGGCTAAGGACTTTATCAGGTAGCATGCTGATAAAAGCATTATATGAGGGGTTTGCAGAGTCTAGAAGTCTTCTGCCACCATCCTAGAAGCATGTCCAGGGCACTGGCGACCTTGCTGGTGGGAGCAAGAGTGCTGTCCTCAGTGATGGAGCAGCTCATCCCCCTCCCCCTGTACATATCTTCCTTTCATGCCCCTGAGCAAGCCGTCCTCCCACAGCCCCTTGCCTAACCAGTTCAGTGGAATGCCTTTTCCCCAGACAGTCAGTGTGGTCAGTGTTTTCTTAACCTGGATCCTTCCCTCCCCATAAAAGGGAGATAGAATTCCTTGCCCTTTTTTTTGGGGGTTTGAGTCTTCAGCTTTGTTGGCTGTGGATGTCCCAAGCCTGGCGGCTAAAGACATTTTGGAGGTCCAGCATGTGTTTCATATTTTCAAAAGTGAGAGCTTCAGCTCTGTAACTTCACTGTTCTCCTTTATACACAAAGATGGAGATAAAACCAGGCTGTAGGGAGAGACTGGATGTGGCCTGTCTAGGACCTGAAGGTATTGAGGCTCTCCACTTCAGCTCTCACACTAATGAGTTGGTATTTGATACTTCCTAATGGAAAGAAACCTTTCCCAGTTTTAACGTGCTGTAGGCCCGTGGAAGAGCTACTCCAGCCAACCTGCACAGAATACATTTGCCATGCTGCAGTGCAGTGAGCTAGAGAGGAGTGGGACTGAGGACTCTGCAGAGCTACCTTGTCCCAAAGTGACTGCAGCTCTTTGCATACTCTTAGCCTTCACATCACGTAAATCAGCTCAACAGTTCATTTAGTGGTCATACACTGAATTCCTGGGTCCCTGGGAGCCCATCACCTGGGAATTGTGGTCAGGATCAGGTGTGCAATAATATGATGGACAGGCATAAGAAAACCCAACCCACTGTCCAGAAGGATGTCTATTGAGCCCAATCCAATGCTTTAACAGATATCAGAGCCTGCACTTCAGTATTAATTTTAGTTGCTTTCTTGGAAGTGTTTTTCTGGGTTAGGAGAACTCCATTTGCTGCAAGGTAATGGTTGAAGAAACAGATGACAGCTGGTTAAGGGGTGGTGGGACTGCAGG